GCAAATAAATAAATAAACATTTAAATACTGTATTAATATTAAAAGTCCATATTTAACACAACAAAAAATATTCCATCCCAAAAAACATAGAAATTAAAAATTTATTTTAAGGCACAGAAGCAATATGGATAAACTTGTAAAGTGATACCCCTAAGAATTATAAGAATTCTAGTAATAATGCTTACTCTATAGAGAAAAGTTCTGAATATGGATATCATACTTTTAGGCTTAAAGTTTATCTGTTCAATTCCTTCACATGTCTTATAGAAAATTTAAGAAAAAAATATTTATGGCTATGTGATATTTATTCTGAAAGTTCAGATATTATAGTAAAAAAATAAATATTCTAAACTTAATTTTATATTGAATTTAGAGCACTGCTCTGAAAAAAAGCTCGTTTCTTTGATGTGTTTTTTAGAGATCAGCATAAATATGAAACACATTATAATATTGCATACTGCTTGCAATCTAGTCCAACTATTGCTCAGTACAATAAATAGCATCTGATGATAACTCTTCAGAATATCAGATAGAGTTGTTCTCCAGAATGTTTTGGGAAAGTGAATTTGTCCAGCTCAAAGAACTAGAATATCTCACTTCAGAGCACATACTGCCCCTCGCCAATAAGATGCATCAAGTGTATTCACATATTGTATAATAATAGTATATTAATATTTTGCACATTTTGCTTTTTGACTTTAGTAACAAACAGAAAATTACTATCGTGTGTGTGTGTGTATATGTGTGTGTGTGGGCGCGCGGGCACGCAAGATCTTGTTTTAGAGGAATGTATACATAAATCAAGCTTTTTGAAAAGATAGGAAACATCTGTTTCAAGGAACCATATAAGGGACTAAAGGATTTCATTTGTTAAGTAAATTAGTCCCCTAGAAAATGAATTATGGTCTAAGTCCTTCAGCGCTTGACAAGGTTGAGAAATTCAATCTACAGGAAGCTACAAAACAGCTGTATAGAACTGATGTTACACAGACAGGAAGCTGCTGAAGGAAGGTCAACCAAGGTAATGCCAGATCCAAGTCAATCAATGCCCTGCAGAGTTTAGATTTGCGTGCACATATCCCATGCTTCCTGTCTGATTCATATTACTTGCATCATGTTACTAACATAAATACATTTTAAAGTGGTAATAAGGTGGCAGTTAATGGAAAAGAATAATGTTATTTCATAATCTTGAAAAAGAAAGAGCAACACATCTGGAATCAACTTTAAAATATAGAATTACTGACATCACAGCTCTGCCTTAAAAAAAAGAGTTTCTAAAAATGCATAAAAAAACTTTTGCAGCAAATAATTTATCTAAAGAGATGCAGAATTCTTTCTAAATTAAATATTGTTTGGAGTAATAAGGAGAAAATTAAGCCCAATTCCCCTTGGATCAACTTTGCCAGCTGTCCTTCAGAGAAAGGACTAAATCAACCAGTTTGCATTAATTCACAATGCAAAAAAAACCCAGTCATTTTTCCATTGTAGTAGCTTGTTTAACAGCTTCACATAACAGCTTCACATAATTCTGTTTCCATCTTAGAAAGCTATCTGCATTATCTCATGCATGAAGGTTCAAATAAAGCTATGAAAATGACAATGTTAGAATTTAAACAATTACATTTATTCAAAAGCATACAGATATCTTCCAGAGTTCAATTCTGAGCCAACCCTGAAGAAAAAATCTAAGGCCAATTATATTATGTATGTACTTAAATATCTTCTATTTTCTTTGAAATTATGATAGGATTAAGCATTTCTGAAGGGCCTCATTATTGAGAAAACAAACATATATTACCTTTCATATGCTTATTATATCCTTATAATATAATAATATATCATTGTTTAATATAATATTATATAACATAATATATCATTACAAAACTATTATTTTCTACATGATATTTTTAAATTTTTCAGGATAAATGCTTAAAAGTAAAAATGAATAATTTTCTGAAACTAAAATGATTTTTATTCATAAATAAGATTAAGCTGTCATTTGTTTAACTACAATTTATTGAACAATCTGCATTTGGCTGAGTACACATAATTCACTAAACTGTAATACATCAACTTCTGGGGCTACTGGATATTTTGTTTACTTTTGGATACAGTATGTAGATGACACTTTTATCATAATAAAAAAGAACAACTAGAAAAGACATATCTAATTATCAATAACATTCTCAAAGGAACAAAATTCATAAGGGAAGAAGACCCTTCTTGGAATCTTCCTCAACAGCAGATACAGTGATGCAAATTAGAAACAGAAGTCTATAATAGAACACCTATATGAGCCAAGTAAACCACTACAAAAGTAAAAATTCAGTTTCCTACTGTGTAAGAACACCATTTAGTTGAGAACCCAGAACACCAGAAAGGAAATTAATGATCTATGCAAGGCAAAGGATATCCACACAATTTTATCAAAAAATGCCTACCACACTACAGCATAACCAACACAAGCTGTGAGAAGGATAGCACTGCCTTACATCAAAATCATTTCAGAAATAAGCAACAGACTATTACAGCCATATGGCATCACTGTAGCACACAAACTAATTAAATACCTCCAAAACTTCCTTACTAGGCCAAAAGATCCAGTAGTCCCAAAAGAAAAGAAAAAAAGAAGTTATCTATAATATAGAGTGTAAGGAATATAGCAGTCCCTATGAAGGACAAACAGACAGAAGTCTAGCAAAGTGGATAGATTTCACCATAGTTTCAACTGGGAGATGATAAGAATCCTAGATCAAGCTAAATCCAAAAATGATAAAGAATTCCTGGAATTTAGGCACTCAGCAAAATCAGCCATCAACAAGCACATAGTGATAAACATCTACATATCATTCAAAAAGTCAATCAAAAAGCTAAAAGACCACAACATCTCTAGATCCAGCAATCAATACCCAGATAAAGCAGAGATTAACATCAAGCAATAAACAATACCCCAGTCAAGGAACTAGCAATTCAGTAAACAACAGCCTGATCAAAATCAGCAAGACCAGGCCCACCAACAGTGACAAGGTAAATAAACAGAGAGCAAACCCTTCTAGAACTGATGATATTACCTAGTTTGGGTAGTGAAACATCTGCAAGAAAACAATCAAGCTCAGACAGCATCAAGGATCCATACTAAGATATAAAGCTCAACTTAAAAACTAAAATATATAGATTTATATAACATACTATGCCAAAAATCCTGGGTGCTCGCTGAGCTTGCTTGTTTTCTTGCAGACATTTCATTACCTAAATTAGGTAATATTATCAGTGCTAATAAGGAGTTCTGTTTATATTCTAGTGGTTGTCGGTTTATATTCTAATGGGTTGTCTTTCAGTGTTGATGTGGGTGGTCTTAGAGATTCTTTGATTGGGTTAGGGTGCTTCCAGTTTTCTGCCTATTTGTTCTACATAGTGGTTGTTGCAGTCCCTACAGTGTATGTTGTAAATGAATCCTATTTTTTCTTCTGGGTTGTTGGGTCTTTTGGTCTGCTTATAAAGTTTTGAAGGGCTTTATTTGATTTGTGTGCTATGCTGATTCCATTTGATTTTAGTAGTCTGTTGGTGGCTTATGAAATATTCTTGATGTATGACAGTGTAATTCTTTTTAGGATTTGCATTGATTATGCTGTATTGGGTTGAGTGGCAGGGACTTTTTGATAAAGTTGCATGGATATTTATTTTGTTGGAATATGTTGCACAGATGCTCTATTTTCCTTTTCTGCTGTTCTAGGTTGCTGCAGTGTGTTTGGGCTCATCTAAATATAGTCCTTATGTGGCTTCTCTTGTGGGAAGTTGTGTCGTTGCTTTAGTAGTGATGCACCAGGTTAGTATGAGTGGTTAATATGGGTGGTTTTTCCATAACTTGCATTTCTAGTTTGCCATTGTTATCTCTTCTGATCAGGATGTCCAGGAAGGTTAGCGAGTTGTTGTTTTCATCGTCTCTAGTAAACTTCTAGACATTGCATGATGACCTTCACCATAAATCCTGAAAGTGGTAATCCCATCTAGAAGCCATATCACTTCCACAAATACAACTGAAAACATGGATCAGATATGTAGATGAGATTTTCACCATAATAAAAAGGACCATTTAGAGAATACCCACAAAGCCATCTGTAACATTTTAAAAGAAAACCAGTTTACTAGATCCTTGTATCCTGACTTTTCCAGTTAGAATTTCTGTAATTTGTAAAAGTAAGTCATTGTAAGACTTAAAAGGATACTTTTCTTGCACATTGAAACTTTTTAATGTAATTTAAAGGGTCAAGGACTAGGTTTTAGAAGATCATCTGGCCAGAATGTGATCCTTTAGCACTTTTCTCCTAAGCTTTTTTAGTCACCACTTAAAATGACATCTCCTAATCATAACCTGAAAACTGGTATAGTGCCTGGGAAAACTGTGAGTTTGTTGACATCAGTCATGTTGATCCAGATCTTTTTCATTTACCTAATCTCTTAAAAACTAAATTAAAAGAAAGAGAAAAAGAAAGATGCCAAAGTAATTAGTGTACACAGTAGCAAACATTGCTTTAAAAAATCAATGCAAGCATAGGCTGAAGGATATATGATGGTATTCTACCTTTCACTTCTTTCCTTTAACCAAAATAACATGCTTAATAGAAATATCAGCCAACATTTGATCCCAATCAATTATCTAGATGAAAGCAGATAGGTTAAGATTAACTTTTAATGAAACAGTGTAAATGAAAAGCAGACAGGACAAAGATTAACTTATATGTTTTCAGGTATATTTCCAATATCACCTACAGTCATATATATTTCTGTAATATAAATGTGTTTTTTGTTGATTCAAGACAATATCACTGGGCAAACAAAGATTTTGCTTCTTGAAGACTTTAACGGAATAGAATAGAATAGAATAGAATAGAATAGAATAGAATAGAATAGAATAGAATAGAATAGAATTCTTTATTGGTTAAGTGTGATTTGACACACAAGGAATTTGTCTTTGGTGCATATTCTCTCAGTGTACATAAAGGAAAAATATATATTCATTAAGAATCATAAGATACAACACTTTATGATAGTCATAGGTTACTAATAAGCAATCAAATGATACTAGGAAACAAATAAAACAATATAAATTGTAAATATACAAGCAATATGGTTATAGTGGGAAGAAATAGGTACTAGGAAGTGTTACTATAATCTAGTAGTAGAGGAATAATAATAAGACAGTCTTAGAAAATAAGTTGATAGTGTGGCAATTAGTTGTTTAGCAGAGTGATGGCATTCGGGAAAAAACTGTCCTTGTGTCTAATTGTTCTGGTGTACAGTGCCCTATAGCGTCGTTTCAAGAGTAGAAGTTGAAGCAATTTATGTCTAGGATGTGAGAGGTCTGTAGATATGTTCACAGCCCTCTTTTTGACTCATGCAACATACCAGACATCAATGGAAGGCAGGTTGATAGGAATTGTTTTTTATGCAGTTCTAAATTATCCGTTGAAGTTTGTGTCTGTCTTGTTTGGTTGCAAAGCCAAACCAGACCGTTATAGAGGTGTAGATGACAGACTCAACAATACTCTGTAGAATTGAATCAGCAGCTCTTTGGGCAGTTTGAGCTTTCTGAGTTGGTGCAGAAAGAACATTCTTTTTTTTCTCTTATAGATATATAATCTTTATACTTTTTAAATTCTTTCCTGTTACCTCTCAAGTAAGTCATACAGTTTCTCATATCCTTCCTATTTCACCTTTAGTCTTTATTCCATTTTGTGAACTCCCTTTCATGTCCCTCCAGTGATAAAATTTATTCCATATTTTGTGATATTCTGACTCATCTTTATCCTTCAGTTATAATGTCAACCTATTCATTTCAGTACATTGTAATATCTTCTCTGTCACTTCATTTTCCCTCAGAATTTCTCTAGTCTTCCAATTTTGAGCAAATATCATTCTTGCCGCCGTGATTACATGTATTATTAGGTAGGTATCAGCTTTGCTAAACTTCTCTGTCATTATTCCCAGTAAGAACATCTCAGGTTTGTAGAATATTTTTAACCCCGTCATTTCCTCTAACCACAGCCAAATTCTGTATCAGAACTACTGAGCCTTTTTAGAGGACCACCATACATGTGCCCTGTTCTTTCAGACATTTCCAACAATTAGGTGATTGATTTCCATACATTTTGACTAATCTTGCTGGTGGGAGGTGCCACCTATAGAACATCTTGTACAAGTTTTCCTTGTATGATGTGGCTAGTGTTATTTTTTTTTATTTTGCTCCAAGGTTAATTGCCATTGATCCAAATTTATATTATGTCCAAAGTCCTTAGCCCAAGTCACCATCATTTCTTTAACCTGTTCTTCATGCATTTTGTAGTTCAGTATCTGTAAATTTTCAGTATTTGTTTATCTTCTGATCCTAACAAGATTTTATCTAATACTGAGTCTTGTAGATTGATTCCCCATTCTTTTTTATCTTTTTCATAAATTGGTTGTATATGAAGGTAGGCCCACCATTCCAGAACTACTCCTTGTTGTTTTAATCCCTGTCTCTGTTTCAGTTGACCTTCATCATGTATAATGTTTTTGTAGGTAACAGCTTTTGTCTGGTTATATAATTTGAATATACTATTGCTTCTAGTGAGGATAACCAGGCTGGCAGTTCCATATAATTTTGAAGTTTAATTTTATTCCAAATCAGAAATAGAGCTTGTCAAATTTTATGTCTTAAAAAGTATTGGTGGGCGGTATTTTTGCCAAGTAACAAATACGCATGCCAGCCCTGTTGTAGGTCATGTCCTTCTAGATGTAAAAGTCTTTTATTTTTTAAATTAATCCAGCCTTTAATCCATGTCAGTGCTGCCACCTGATAGTGTAGTTCTCATTCTGGAAATCTGAATCCCCCTCTTTCTTTTACATCTTATAGTAGTTTCAATTTAATCCTGGACCTCTCAGAAAGAACATTATTCGTTGTACTTTTTTGATGGCATGTTTGATATTAGATGTCCATTTTAAGTCTTGAGATATGATAGAACCTAGAAACTTGAAGGTCTCTACTGTTGATACTGTGTTGTCTAGTATTGTAAGAGGTGATTGTATAGAAGGGTTTCTCCTAAAATCTACCACTATTTCTATGGTTTTGAGTGTGTTCAGTTCAGGATTGTTCTGGTTGCACTACAAGGTTAGTTGTTCAGCCTCCCATCTGTATGCAGATTCATCATTGTCTTGCATGAGACCAATCACTTTTGTATCATATGCAAAGTTCAGTACTTTAACAGAGGGATCTTTTGAGATGCAGTCATTGGTATGTAGAGAAGAGAAGTGGAGAAAGCACACAGCCTTGTGGGGTGGGCTGTGGTAATTGTACAGGTATCTGGTGTGATTTTTGCCTAGATTCACCTGCTATTTCCTGTCTGTTAGGAAGCTGATGATCCATTTACAAATTATAGAATAGACATCAGACAGATTGCTATCAGTGTCAAATTGGGACAGGTTTGATAGCAATGACCAGAATCATAACACAACATAAACTGATAACAAAAGTCCATCATGTGATCTGGTGAATCAGTGGGCAAACAAGGTGCCCATATCTTATACATGTTGGAAATGCAAATTTAGAAGAATCAACTCTTTCCCTGTTATTCTATTGTCCTTAAAAACAGCCTCTTTTGGGATTCTTCTTTAAAGAAAACAGGAAAGAAGACGCTTCATTACAAAACCTGTGGGATGCAGCGAAAGCATATATGAGAGGAGTTGCCATAACATTTACAGCAAAGAAAAACAAAAGGAAGAAGCAACAACAAAGAACCTTAGAGGAAGAATATAAAAGACTTGAAGCAGAGTTACACCACCATCATGGGTAGAAGCTAACCTTACCTTGATACCAAAAGAGGATTCAGATGTAACGCAAATAAAGAACTATAGACTGAATACTGACAATAAAATATTCACCTCAATAGTAGCAGGAAGACTGAAGAGATTCTTAAAGGAGCTCATACACCCTGATCAAAATTGTTTTCTATCTAAAAGGCAAATAAGAAATAATATGAGAGTAAAGTACGATTTCAGCAACAGAGTGATCGACTTTGGTTTGCTCGTCGTCAGAGTCGGAGCAGAATCCACAATCATGACCAGTTTTGCTTCAAGCTAATTTGCTGTAGGGTCCCATTCGGGACCAGAAGCACCGTGTAGGGGTGATGAAGAAAGAGGGAATCACCTGGAGGGTTGAGGGGAGCCGCAACTCCCCTCCCTGACAGGAAAAACCCCTTCCAAAGGCAAGCGGTACTGGTGGTCTTAAAATGGCCACCACAAAGATGAAGAACAGCCCAGGAAACTAAGTTTGTGTTGAAGAGAAGTAGCAAGCGGAGTGAATACCAGGCAAAATGCATGGGTTTTGAGGTACCCCAGTATTAAAAATAAAGGACTATATTGGAGGAAAGTGTGTGGAAGCTGTGATCAAAGAGAGAGTGAAGGAAATTGGATTTTATAAAATTGGCTTGAATTACTGTATTGGATTAATTTGGAGGAGAAAATTTAAAGGAAAATATTTGAACACAACAAAGGTTTAGAAATTAAACTGAATAACTATTGGATTATGGGCACTCAAAGGGCATAACTAAATGCTGAAATTGAATGTGTGAAAATGGAAAAAAATAATAGCTAATGATTGAAATCAGCAAATTTAATCAAAGTATTATATTCAACAAAGAAAGTTAAAGGAACGAGTGGACAGTGAAAAAGGCTCAAGAGCGCCACCTGATGGTACAGGAAAACTTCAGTGAACTTTTTGTTTAAAAAAAGTGGTCTTTCTAAGAAATTGGACTTTGGAACTTAAAAAAAAGTAAAAGAAACTCCATTATAAAAAACAAAAACCCTGGAAAGTGACATTAGAATATTACAAAGGGGAAGATATTTGAAAATATTGTCATAGAACCACCCGGTGAGTGTGTGAAACAGTTGGGAAAGGGTCTCTTGAAAATTTGGAACAAAGATTTAAGGACATTGTTGAAAATAAACTTAAAAGATACTGGCTGAAATAATATACTGGACTTTGGAACTGAATACATCAATTAGGGAAGAGGAAAAGAACAAAGATGATACAATGGAGGAATTCTTTGTTGAAATGAGAGTGGACTTGCAAGACATAAGGGAAATGATGAAAACTAGATTTGAAATGTGTAATTACGTATTACAGAAATTAGAGATGGCGACCCAGCATGTAGAAGAATGCTATAATTAATTGATTAGAACTAACATTTTTGTAATGTATAGATGACTGATAAGGTAATAAAATGTAATGCGGAATCTGACAAAAAAAGTATATATATATATATACATATAC